CCTTAAATTATGGATCACCATTAATACATTTTTTACTTGTACAGCTTAGATTTAACATTTAGAATATTCTTTACTTGTATAAATTTTACCTCATCTTCATTTGTATTGTATTTGAGCATTAAGCTGATTAATATATCTTTTTACAAAGTTTAACTTGGTATCAGAGCCACAATGGCAAACACCAATAATGCTGGAACTAACAGTCAGCAGGCTCAATCAACTTGAGTAGCTAACACAGTGGTATCTCTAAAGCTGGGAGGTAACCATGTCACTCCGTTTGGTGTGACCCTCACTCAAATCCCTTCCATCAAACTCGACAAAGACAACTATCTCCTATGGAAGAACATGATTCTACCCATCATCAGAGGCCACAATCTGGAAGAGTTTTTATTGGGAACCAAAGTATGTCCCTCTGAATTTACCTGTACTCAGATTACAGGAGAATCAGGGATTAGTATAGAGATGACATCTAATCCAGAATTCAGTCAGTGGAAATCCATCGATCAGCTACTCATGGGATGGCTCTATGCAATAATGACTCCTGATATTGCACTGAGAGTTATGGGATCTATAGACTCTCATAAACTATGGACTGCAATAAGTGATAGCTATGGCATTCAGAACAAATCGAGGATCACCTTTCTCATTAGTGAACTGCAGAGAACTAGGAAAGATAACTTGAGTATTGATCAATACTTGAGCAAGTTAAACTCCTTGCCAGTAATCTTGAAGTTGTTGGGAAAGTCATACCACTCACAGATTTGGTGACTCAAATTCTGGCTAGCCTAGATGAAGAATATACACCCATTGTTGTCCAAATTAATAGCAGAGATTCTATATCTTGGGAAGAACTTCAATCCACCCTCATGACTTATGAAAGTAGATTTGATCACATCAACACAATTAAGAATGAAATGGCAGGTATCAATCTTAGTCAATCATCTGCAAACTTCACTCAAAGGGCTCCAAACAATCACTATTCTGGCAGAAACTACAACTCCTTCAATGGTGGTGATCATACACCAGTAACTTCAGAGGTGGTAGAAGATGAGGTAGATACAGAGGCAGATCAAACTTCAATCAACCACCTACGTGTCAAGTCTGTGGAAAGGTTGGGTGTAAGGCTAATATCTATAATTACAGATATGATGAGAGCTACAATGGATCCATTGCATCACATCAAAGCAACTTCAGAAACCACACTCCTTTAGCTTTTGTTGCCCCACTAGATACACTAAATGATCCAGCATGGTTCGTTGATACAGGAGCCAGCAACCATGTCTCATCAAGTGAGAAACATTTCAGTCATGCCAGTAAGTACTCTGGTAAGGAAATAATCATGGTTGGTAATGGGAGCAAACTCAATATTTCTCACATAGGCACATCCAAAATGCCAATCATGACTGATAAACATTTGCTTCTAGATAAATTTCTTCATGTTCTTGGAATGAGGAAAAATCTTATAAGTGTTTCACAGCTCACCCCTGATAATCATGTCTTTATGGAATTTCACTCTAGCTATTGTTGTGTTAAGGACAAATCAACGAGGAAAATGATGCTGTATGGAAGGCTTAAAAAAGGGTTGCACCAGCTGGAACCCCCAAACATCTATCCTACATCACAGTCAAAGAATCCAAACTCATCATATTAGAATAATTCATGCAATTCACTGTTTTTAGTTGCGTCAAATAGAATCAAGAATCACGAGTCAAATAGTTCCCTGATCAATGTTTAGCGCAGGAGATATGGACACCTATCTACTCAGGTGATGTCCCAAGTTCTCAAAGATTGTAATCAAAACTTGAAAATGAATGAACACAAGTTTTTCTGTGATTCCTGTTAGTATGGAAAATCACATATGTTGCCTTTCAACGCATCAAGTTCACGTGCTAAATCTCCTCTTGAACTCATCCACACAGACATATGGGGACAATCACCTATCCTCTCTACCTTTAGTTTCAAATTTTACATAGCATTCCCTGATATTTTAGTCGACATACCTAGATATATCCAATAAAAACAAATCTAATTCTCTGAATATCTTCATTCAATTCCAAAAATTTGTTGAAAATAAGTTTGATAAAAGAATTAAAATCCTCCAATCTGATTGGAGAGGAGAATACAAAGTTTTGTCAATCATCTCTTACAATCAGGAATAGAGTTTAGACATCATTGCCTACACACATCACCTCAAAAAGGAAAAGTTGAAAGAAAACACTGTCACATTGTAGAAAATGGTCTGACTTTACTTGCTCAAGCCAAATTGCCACTAAAATACTGGGTGGAAGACTTCCAGGCTGCTACCTTTCTCATTAATAGAATGCCCTCACAAGTCCTTCAAATGCAATCCCCTTATCAGTTGCTGAACAATAAAATGGCTGACTACACATTCCTTAAAGTATTTGGGTGTTCATGCTATCCTTGCCTAAGACCTTATCAAAGGCATAAATTCAGCTTCCACTCAGTCAAGTGTGTTTTCCTTGGCTATAGCTCATCGCACAAAGGCTACAAGTGCCTCGGTCCTACTGGCAAAACCTACATATCTAGACATGTTATCTTCAATGAGTCTGAATTTCCATTTGAGTCAATCTTCCTTGCAAAAGATAAATCAAAGTCTCTTGAACAAACTGTCATATCCTACTCTCAGTCACAACTTCCATTTTTCACTCCTTCCACAGAAAAAAGTTTAGCTGATGCCACCCTTTTTGAAGCTGCATCATCAGCAGAGTCACCTCATGATGAGTTCAACATTACAACTGAAAGAGAAATCTCTAATGACCAACTTGAACCTGAGCAAAATGATAAATCAACTGATAATGAAAATATTGAAGTAAGAGATCAAAGCATCAGTGAAATGGAATTACCATCAGAATACAGTGATAGAAGAGGTGAAACTGGGCACTCCATGATAACAAGAGCAAAGTATGGTATCTTCAAACCTAAAGTCTTATCCAGTCAGGCAATCGAAGGTAAACTAAGTAGAATGAACCTGAAAATCCTACTGAGGCCTGGAAGGATGAAAACTGGAAGAAAGCAATGATTCAGGAGTACAATGTACTGATCAGAAATAAGACATGGACATTGGTACCCCCATCTCCATCCTACAACATAGCGAGAAACAAATGGGTGTTCAAGTTAAAACAAAATTCTGATGGATCATTTCAAAGGTTCAAAGCAAGGTTAGTTACAAAGGGTTTTCACCAAACTCCAGGGGTTGATTTCTATGAGACATTCAATCCAGTGTTGAAGACATCTACGCTGAAAATCATCCTCACTCTTGTAGTCTCAAAGGATTGGAAAATAAGGCAAGTAGATATCAACAATGCTTTCCTCAATGGTGATTTGGAGGAAACCGTCTATATGCATCAGCCAAATTGCTTTATTGATAAAACGAAGCCCAAACGTGTCTGCAAACTTAATAAAGCCTTGTATGGACTCAAGCAAGCACCAAGGGTTTGGTACGACAAGCTAAAAAACACACTAACTGACTGGAAGTTTCAGCAATCAAGAGCAGACACTTCACTCTTCTACTTCACAATATAAAGGGATATAATTTTATACTTGGTTACGTGGGCAATATAATAATCACTGGCAACAATAGTGATCTACTGCAGAGCTTCATAAATAAACTCCACAGGCAATTTGCTCTGAAAGATATGGGCGAGCTTCATCATTTCCTAGGCATAGAATTTCACAGGCATAGTGCAGGAATCTATCTGACTCAATCATAGTATATATGTGAGTTGCTAAAAAGATTTGATCTTCAGAACATCAAACCATGTCCTACGCCTAGTGCATTTGGAAAAACAATGTCTAAAATCGAAGGTGAAGTCCTAAAAAATCATTCAGTCTACATGAGTGCTGTTGGAGGTCTCCAATATTTGTCACATACCAGGCCAGATATAACCTTTGCCGTCAATAAACTCAGTCAATTCCTACAGGAACCAACATCAGTACATTGGCAAGCAATGAAGAGAGTCTTAAGATATCTAAAAGGTACAATCAATCAAGGACTATGGATCAAAAGAAGCGATAATCTGATGATAACTTGCTACTCTGATGCAGACTGAGCATCGTGCTCTGATGATAGAAGATTAGTGGCAGCCTACTGTATTTATCTAGGAGACAACCTAGTATTTTGGTCATCTAAGAAGCAACATGTTGTCGCAAGATCTAGTATTTGAAGCAGAATACAGAGCTCTTGCCTCTACTATGTCTGAAATAGCATGGATATAGTCACTAATTAAGGAGCTCAAATTACAATCAACCTCAGTTCCAATTATCTGGTGCGACAACCTCAGTGATGGAGCCTTGGCAGCTAATCCTGCGTTCCATGCTAGAACAAAGCACATTGAATTAGATGTTCACTTCATAAGGGATACAGATCATGCAAGAGAACTGGAAGTAAAATACATCCCTACTGCATATCAGATTGCGTACTTGATGACTAAAGGTGTATCACACTCAAGATTTGCTTACCTGAAAGACAAGCTTGGAGTGTCAATAACCTGTCCAGCTTGAGGGGGGATGTTAGCACAGCTGAATTAACCAACTAAATTCCATATGGAACACTCACAGCACACTCACGTTTTACTGGCACACTCACATTTTACTTAATCAGGTGCATCAGAATTCCACTCAACTCTCTCTCCTCCTAGTTACTGGACCACCCTTAAATTATGGATCACCATTATTCCTTTTTTACTTGTACAGCTTAGATTTAACATTTAGAATATTCTTTACTTGTGTAAATTTTACCTCATCTTCATTTGTATTGTATTTGAGCATTAAGCTGATTAATATATCTTTTTACAAAATTTAACTTTTAATAAGAAACATTGAGTCTTAATATATCTAATAATTATGTACTTTCTAGCATGATTGAAAAAAATTGGGAGATTAACATAGCATATTAACTTAATTTGATGTCATGTACATGCGACTAACATTAGTGTTTCGGATTTTAAAAATTCTATAATTAAAACATTTTTTTTATTCCAAAATACGTCTCTACACGCGATTTCTTACAAATTCTATATATTAGAATGTGAAACATTTTGTGGACAAGAAACACTCAAATTGAGTAAAGACTATAAATGACACTGTTTCCTTGTAGCTATTCACATTTCACCCTCAATCATAAAATAAACTTCCTTCTACAATTTTATAGAGAAAAATCATATAAAATGAATTAAAGAAAGCAAGCAAGAATTGGAAAACAATCAAGTTATAAGTACAGATTTTTTAACAGAAAAGTTTTGAAAGACAACACTTGGTGTAACAACATTGGAAGATGGAAAAAAAAGGCCAATCAAGTTTAGTCACGTCAGTGTTGATATCAATTCTTTTCCATGTATTTGGAACTCTATTGATTGGAAAATTGATAGTTACTGCAAATTTTATTGTTAAAATTTCCATGTAATTCAATTTAGCCACGGATTTATTCCATCGGAAAACAACTTTGTATTTAACTAATAAAATTATTGTACTTTCCATTGATTTCCAAAAGATTCCTTTCCAACTTTCCTAAATCTCCTTCAGCTTTAAATCTAAGAACAACAACAAGAACAACAATAACAATAATAATAATAACACATAAAGCTAAGGGGGGGAAAAGGATGCTTCATAAAAGAAAGCAATTAATTTAATTATCTAAAATTTTGAATAAATAAGAACTTGATGTATCAGTTTTTCCAGATTCTTTTAAGATGATCATTCTAATTTTTTAACAGAATATTGAGCCAATTTCTTCCACTCTAGGACCCTTTTCTTCATCTCTTGAAGAATCATCACCAATTTTCTA